TTTTTTTTTTTTTTCCGTTTTTCTTCTGTTGTCTAACTTCCTGTCTCCTTTTAACCATTTCTTTTTCTCTATGTATAAAGCCTTTACACGTAAAAGTTAAACTTTTGCATTTAATTATTCATTGTCCTGGGAACTGCTTTGAATGTCTCAACAACCCTACATTCACAATAGTCTATTTAAACCAAGTTTCAATGCATTCAAATATCTGAACTAAATGTATCTTGGAATTAAATGCTCTGAAATTTTGTTTTCTAAAAGTATCTTTACGTAATAAATTTTTTAAATGGCGTAGAAAGTTAAAGGAAATTCTTACCTAAGTATTCTGGAGTACCCATGATTTCCCGAAGTTCACATGCATTTCCTATTTTTCGAGACATTCCAAAATCCACAATTTTTATGTCTCCAAGGGGGTATATACTGCTTAATAATATATTTTGTGGCTAAATAAAGCAAAACAAAAAATCATAAGTAATATACAATAGAAGAATACTAGTCTCAGATCCGTGATAATGTAAATGTAATTTATTGTTTAGCTATTATATATTTCATTGAGTCACTCATCAAACATTTCCTAAACTACTATTTAGGAAGAACCTAAATAGTATCTAGTGATAAATTAGGCCAAATATATCAAAGACATTTTTAGTTCAGAGGATAAAGACAGACAGACAGACAGACAGATAGGCAGATAATACTCAGTAGTAAAGAAAAGACTGCCCATAGAAGGTCTTTCCATAAGGTCCAAAAAGGCTTTTCAGTGGACTCAGTGTTTAAGCCAAGTCTTAATGGGTAAGTAAGAGTACAACAGTTGGAAAGGTGCATGGGGGAAGAGCACAGAAAAAGGCATGAAAGAATGAAAATGCATACATTTCCAGAAGCAGAAAATGGTTCAGTATAGCATGAGAGTTCTGGACAAGTTGGGGCTGATTATTCCTAGGTTTCTAGCTTAGATGATAAGGTGAATGGTAGGTTTCCTCCATTATCTTCCAGAACTCAGAATGTGCTTTACTATTACAGGCCAAAGGTCTATTACCAAGTTCTTTGCTGCTGTTATACACCCATACACCTGTTGAGGTCCTGCTCCCAAGAATAACAGTCTCTTAGCTTTGAGAAAAGTACATGCTCATTTATTGTCAAAGGAGACTATTACATTAGAATGCTTTGCTGTTGTTGTTAGATGCCATCATGTTGGCTCCAACTCATAGCAACTCTATGTACAACAGAACGAAACACTGCCCAGTCCTGTGCCATCCTCACAGTCCTTGCTATGCTTGAGCCCATCGTTTCAGCCACTGTGTCAATCCATTTTGTTGAGGGTCATCCCCTTTTTCATTGACCCTCCACTTTACCAGCCTGATATCCTTCTCGAGACTGGTTCCTTCTGACAACATGACCGAAGTACTTGAGACTAAATCTGTCCGTTCTTGCTTCTAAGGAGAATTCTGGCTGCACTTCTCCCAGGACAGATTTGCTTGTTCTTCTGGCAGTCCATGGTATTTTCAGTATCCTTCGCCAACACCACAATCCAAAGGCGTCAACTCTTCTTCGGTCTTCCTTATTCATTGTCCAGCTCTCACATGTATATGAAGCAAATGAAGATACCATGGCTTGGGTTAGATGCACCTTAATCTTCAAAGTGACATCTATGCTCCTTAACAATTTAAAAGAAGTCTTTCATAGCAGATTTGCCCAGTGAAATATGATATACTGATTTCTTGACTGCTGCTTCCACAAGTGTTGACTGTAAAATTTTGTAAAATAAAATAAAATCCATGACAACTTCAATCTTTTGAAGTTCAATTCATTTACCATGACATTGCTCATTGGTCCAGTTACAAGAATTTTTGTTTTATTTTGAGGTGTAATCTATACTGAAGACTATAGTCTTTGATCTCTTTCAGTAAGTGCTTCAAGTCCTCTTCACTTTCGGTAAGCAAGGTTTCTCATCTGCATATTGCAAGTTGTTGATAAGTCTTCCTCCAATACTGATGTCACGTTCTTCTTCATGTAGTCTAGGTTCTCAAACTGTTTACTCAGCATACAGATTGAACAAGTATAATGAAAGGACACAACCCTGACACATGCCTTTCCTAATTTTAAGCCATACAGTATCCCCTTGTTCTGTTCAAATGACAGGTCAATGTACAGGTTCCTCATGACCACAATTAAGTGTTCTGGGATTCCCATTCCTTGCAAAGTTATCCATAATTTGTTAATGATCCACATAGTTGAATGCCTTTACATAGTCAATAAAACTCAGGTAAACATCTTTCTGGTATTCTTTGCTTTCAGCCAAGATCCATCTGACATCAGCAATGATATCCCTCCTTTCACATCCTCTTCTGAATCCAGCTTGCATTTCTGGAAGTTGCCTGTCAATATGCTGCTACAACCATTTTAAATTATCTTCAGCAAAATTTTACTTACTCCACTCCTCAGAAGGAATTATTAAATTATCTTCAGCAAAATTTTACTTACTCCACTCCTCAGAAGGAAGATTGGGCAATAGTGATACTGCTTTGGAAATCCAAGGAGGGGTCACTATGAGTCGGATCCAACTCGATGGCAGTGAGTTTGGGGTTTTTTTTGTATGATATTAATGACATTGTTTGATAATTTCCATATTCTGTTGGATCACCTTTCTTTAGAATGTGCACAAATATTGATCTCTTCCGGTCAGTTGGCCAGGTAGCTGTCTTCTAAATTTCTGGCATAGATGAGTAAGTGTCACCAGAGTTAAATCCGTTTGTTGAACCACCTCCATCGGTATTCTGTCAATTCCTGGAGCCCTGTTTTTCACCAATTACTTCAGTGCAGCTTAGACTTCTTCCTTCCAAACCACTGGTTCTTGATCACATGCTATGTGAAATGGTTGAACACTGACCAATTCCTTTTGGTACAGTGACTCTGTGTACTCCCTCCATCTTCTTTTGATGCTTCCTGCTTTGTTCAATGTTTTTCCCATAGAATCTTTCAATATTGTAATTTGAGACTTGAATTTTTTCTTCAGTTCTTTTAGCTTGAGAAATAGCAAGTATGTTATTACCTTTTAGTTTACTAATTCTAGGTCTTTGCACATTTTGTTATAATACTTTACTTTGTTTTCTCAAGCAGCCTTTGAAATCTTCTGTCCAGCTCTTTTATTTCATCATTTCTTCCATTTGCTTTAGCTATTCTCCATTCATGAGCAAGTTTCTGAGTCTCCTCTGATATCCATTTTGGTCTTTTTTTTCCTATCTTGTCTTTCCAACGACATTTTTTTCTTTCTACATGTATGATGTTTGTGGTAGTTAAGGTTGTGTGTCAACTTGGCTGGGCCTGGTTGAGTGGCTGGGCAGCTGGATATAGTATTCCCCATGAGGAGACTGGCAGTCACCTCCATGGTGGAATCTACTGTGAGCAGCCTGAGGGATGTGGTCTGCTTCCTGCATAGAAGCAGCAGCCTTGGGAACGGTCTCTAGCTTTTTGGCACCCTTGAACCCTGCATGTAGCCGAGTCTTCACTCAGTAGCCTGCCATGCTCTGCTGATTTTGGGACTTTCAATGGACTTGAAATAATGGCCTGATGTGTGGTTTGGTAACATTGGGATTATGCCTTTTTACTTGTTGACCTTGGGTTTTTCAGTCTCAGCAGCCAGCAGCTGCCTGAGTGAAGAAAGCCTCTGGCTTCAGTGGGCCAGGAGCCAGAGGCAGAGCTTAAGCCAAGGTCATGGGGCTTTCACCCAGCCCCTAGAGCCCAACACTCTGAACTTGGACTTCTAGCTTCCAAAATTATAAGAGAATAAACTCCTGTTTGTTCAAGCCAGCCCACTTGTGGTATTTCTGTCAGAGTAGCACTAGGTAACCAAAAAAGTATTCTTGATGTCATCCCACAAGTCCTCTGGTCTTCAGTCACTGGTATTCAATGTGTCAAATAGATTCTTCAGATAGTCTCTAAATTCAGGTGGGATATAATCAATGTCATATTTTGGCTCTCATGGACTTGTTTTAATTTTTTTCAGCTTCAACTTGAACTTGCATATAAGTAATTGATGTCTGTTCCACAGTCAGCTTCTGGCCTTGTTTTGACTGATGATATTGAACTTTTCCTTCATCTCTTTCCACAGATATAGTCAATTATATTCCAGTGTATTCCTTCTGGTGAGGTCCACATGTATAGGCATCATTTGTGTTGTTGGAAAAAGGTATTCGCAATGAATAAGTTATTGGTCTTGCAAAATTTTATCATGCAATTGCTGGCATAATTTCTATCACCAAGGCCATATTTCCAACTCCCAATGCTTCTTGTTTCCAACTTTCACATTCCAATCACCAGTTATAATCACTACATCTTGATTGTATGTTTGGTCAACTTTAAACTACAGAAGTTCACAAAAATCTTCAATTTCTTCATCTTTGGTGTTAGTGGTTGTTGCGTAAATTTTAATAATAGTAGTATTAACTGGTCTTCCTTGTAGGCATATGGATATTATCCTATCATTGACAGCACTGTACTTCAGGATGTATCTTGAAATGTTCTTTTTGACAATGAATGCAATGCCATTCCTCTTCAATTTGTCATTCCTGGCATAATAGACCATAAAATTGTCTGATTCAAAATTGCCAATATCAGTCTATTTCAACTCACTAATGCCCAGGATATTGATCTTTATGCATTCCATTTCATTTTTGACAACTTCTAATTTTCCTAGATTCATACTTAGTACAGTCCACGTTCTTATTACTAATGAATGTCTGCAGCTGTGTTTTCCTATTTTGATTCGCATCCCATTAGCAAATAAAGATCCCACAAACTTTATGCCATCCACATCATTAAGGTTGACTTCTACTTTGATGAGGTAGCCCTTCCCCCATCATATCTTGAGTTCCTAAGGATCTCTTCTGGCACTGTATCAGACAATGTTCACTGCTCTTCATAAAGTTTTCCAGTAATATATCAGGTAGTGTTTCACTACTATTCATAAGGTTTTCAGTGGTCAATCTTTTCCAGGAAAAAAGTAGATGGCCCTGTCCTCCTTTCCAGTCTGTCTTAGTCTGGAAGCACTGCTGAAACCTTTCCACCAGAGTGACCACACTGGCATATGAAATACCAGTGGTATAGTCTCCAGCCTCACATAAGCCACCACAGTACGACAAACTGACAGATGAGTGGTGGTTACAGAAGAATTGTTGTTGTTGTTGTTGTTACGTGCTGTGGAGTCGGACCCGACTCATAGCGATCCCTCCTTGGGTTACCGAGGCAGTATCACTACAGAAGTAGATTGTCCCATCTTCCTTCCGAGGAGTGGCTGGTGGGTTTGAACCGCCAGGCTTCTGGTTAGTAGTCAAGTGCCTTAGGCACTATGCTACCAGAGCTCCTATTATGAAAATAGTGGAAACCACATGTCATCTAGGGAGACTATATAAAAAGAGAAGGGTCCTGTGTCCAAGGAAATATGAGACAATGAGATTAATTGAGATTTTAAGGTCCTTGTGTGGTTGTGGAAGAAGAATAAGGAGAAAGGGTAATAACATGAGAGGCTTTAGTGTTAGTTTAGGGCCCTGGACAAGGGGCATAAATGGTCCGGGAAAAAAAGGAAAAGCCAACAGACTGAAAGGCTCAACAGATGAATGAGTATAAAGGGAGCCATGGAATAAGGATTAGTAGGAGGCTATCTTCAGAGATGGAGATTAGAATTGAGATTTTCAGAGGTAGACAGTTTATAAGAAAAGAAGGTACAGGATGGACTATAAGAAAGGGGTAAAGTGGAATGACTGATTAGAGCATACAGGAATGGCACTTTTTAAGAGCCCAGTGATTAATCTGAGCTGCCTATACATGCAGTCCTCCCTCTGCCAACACAAAATGAAGGCCATCTAGCTGACAGGTAAGCAAAGAGCACAGCCAGTGCAGTCCAGGCTGCCATGATCAGAATGCTGTTTCCTCTCAATGCCAGCTTGCAACTGCACATACCAGGAACACGGAGAAACCCAGATGTTGCGTTACTTAAATTCACATGTTACATTACCTTTAAGTCAAGGTGGACAATATTATTTTGATGTAGATAATAAACTCCTTCAAGTATTTGTTTAATGAGTCTGATAACATCATTTTCAGAGACCATTTCAGCCAGTTCAGGTAAACAGAGGTTGAAAATTTCTCCACCTGCAGCACTGAAATAAAATTCAAATAACAGAAACTTAAAAAAATCACTAACCTAAAAATGACAACTTTTAAATACTGTATACCTGTTCAGGGACTCACAACCACCCAAACTTTAGTCATCATATATATGTAAGGAGGGGTGGGGGGGAGAAGAGGGATCCTTAAGGAGGAAAATAAATAGCAAAACTATTTTAAATTCTGGGTACTAATAACTGAATAATTAATAAATAAAACTGAATAGCTTTATAATTCCATGATATTGTAGCCGACTGTAAGCCTGCATTGAAAACAATAAAAGCAATAATAATTACTACTACAGGCTCAACCTTGCTCTATGCCTTCCTATCTCCCTCCCTCTCTATGTATGTATCACCTACTCTGATCCACATGACAACCACGTGAGGTAGGTGGTTATCGTTCCCATTTTTACAGATAAGAAACTCAAGTACAAAGAGGTAAAGCAGTTTGCACAAGGTCTCACAGTAAACAGGGTAGGGTGGGGGAATGGTGGTATCAGAACATGAATCTGCATAATGTGAGTCTGCATCTTTGACTCCATATATTGTACTGCTGCTTCACACAGAATAGCTGGGGTCAGAACCCAATTTCTTTTTTTTTTTTTTTTTTTTTTAAAGAATTGAAAACATAAAGAATGCTGGTAAAGGCATACTTTAAAAAGTCCCTAAATTTAGAAACAAATGATCTGAATTTACATTCTAACTCTGCTATTGACCAGTAATATAACTTAGGTTTAGTGACTTAATTTGAGTTTCCCCTTCTAAAAAATGGAGATTATCACTGAACTTTTTTTAAGGGTTAAACCTAAATAAATAAAATTTGTCAGTAATCATAATATGAAAAAATAATCTAAATGTTTACTTATCAAATTTATAAGGTGTATTTGGGAATGTCTCAAGTAATGCAAGTTCTTTGTGGTAAAATACAATCTTGCTCACTCTAGAAAAGACTGTTATTTTTATTTATTTGGCTTCCTGCCGTATCCTCAGCCTTAAGGATAATGTTATTATTATTATTAGACAGTAGGTGTTCAATAAGTGTTTGCTGAATAAATGAATGATAGACAAGGCAGTCACTTGTTAGAGAGGCTGAACCTGAGATTCCACAGTTTTGGTGACTTGCATGTCACATGTATTAGGAGCCATAAGAAGAAAAGAAATACTCAACGGTGGTCTTAAACCCAGGTCCCAACTTAAAGGTCACAAAGACTGACCCTTCATAATGTTGAAACAAACTGTAACCTAGCCATCTGTACAGTATGCCAGTTAGAGGCCACAGGCATTTGCTGTTTTACACTTCAGTTTATATTCCAGAGCAAACTCTGTGGGAAAGCTGGTAAGGAGGAACACACTAAAAGCTCTGATCACATTTGCTTCCCTTTCACCCCCACCCTCCATTCTCAACTTCCTGAATTTCAATATCTGCCTCATTATTATATGGTAAAGACAATCTGAATATAAACAATATTATTTACTATGAAATTTATAATGTTGTTGTCGTTGTTATGTGCCATCGAGTTTAGTAAATTCCAAACTAAAGTATAAACCAAAAAAAACCAAACTCACTGCCCTCGAGTCGATTCGACTCATAGTGACCCCTCCTTGGGTTTCCAAGGCGGTATCTCTACGGAAGTAGATTGTCCAATCTTCCTTCTGAGGAGCAGCTGGTGGGTTTGAACCACCAGCCTTCTGATTAGCAGTCAAATGCCTTAGGCACTATGCCACTAGAGCTCCTAAACGATCGGAAGGTAATATTAGAAATTCATATTATATCTACTCATTTTTAATCTAAAGAAAAACTAAATTAATCTTACAAAAATAATTAATATATAGATTGCCTTGGGGTCCCCTGGTTGGCCTGCTGGCTGTTTGTTACACCTTCTCAAGGTCTCCTGAGGGGGTGGGAGCGCCACAGCACAGACTGGCAGCGGCACCCTCACTCCTTCTCTTTCTGATTACAATTAATTAGCTTTAAATGAATCCTCTCAAAACAATCTTCTGTAAAATTTCCAACCTACAGAGAAGCTGGAAGAATATTATAACTAACACTCTTACACCCTTCACCTTGATTCTCCAGTTTTTGACATCTTGCCACATTTATTGAAACATTTGAAAGTAAGCTATAGGTATCACAATGCTTTTCCTTTGTGTGCTGAAGGACTTATTTCTAAGAATAAGGGCATTTTCCTACATAACTGTCACCAGTATTAAACCTAAAAGGTTAACAATAATTCAATAGCATGAACAATATGTACATATGCATACCTTTTTACGTAATTTTGTGTTTTGAATCACGTAAACTTTTCATGATTTAAAAAAAAGATTCAAAAAGTCTCATTTTAAGATTGAATACAAATATAAACAAACGTACAAAATTGTAACAGACATTGTACAATTGTAACATCCATCTTCAGTGGGCTACATTCATCCTTAGGACAAGAAAGAGCGGCAAAGAGAGGCTGAACTTTACTAAATAGTGCATAGTAGTGATACTGTAATATCAGTAGTGTTATGCTGAAACTGCTTTGTATCCCGTATGTTCAGGATATAGCAAATGACTAAATATACTGCTACTGATGGAAACCAGGGTTCTCGCTGTGGGGGAACAGAGATACAAACATGGAATACGAAAAGGTGATAAACAGCCTTGCAGAGGCAGATTTGAATTGAGGTTATCAGAATGAACTCATGATTTTTAAAAACATTATTTCCTAGTAAGGCATTTGACTGCTAACCAGAAGGCTGGCGGTTCAAACCCACCAGCCACTCCTCGGAAGGAAGGTTGGGCAATCTACTTCCGTAGTGATGTAGCCTCGGAAACCCAAGGAGGGGTCGCAGTGAGTCAGGTCTGACTCGACGGCAGTGTGTGTTCTTGGAAAGGCCTACAAGCCAATATCCAGATCTTGGTTTCCACGAAAAGGTGCCAGAACTTCTTGAAGAGATAACTGATTACAGGTGCAGGGCAGGGAAAATATCAGGTGAGCCTGTAAATTTTGTGCCAGAAAGCAAAGAAGTCTTTAAAAATCATTTCAAAAGGACACAGGAAGTAGCTTGAAAGAGCACCACTAGCTAAATTTGGACATGAAAAAGAATAATGACAGAAACTGATTATAACCCATTAATTAAAAAGTAAAGCAAAGCAAAACTAGGAATCCATAGTGAAACTTTTAAAAGGAAAAGAAAGGGAGGGGAGCTCTTTACAGAGCACCAGTTTAATAAAATTAGAAGGAATAATTTGCAGGTGCGTCAAGTCGCCTCTGACTCAGGATGACCCCACTGGTGTCAGAGCAGAACCATGCTTCTTGGGGTTTGCAATGGCAGATTTTCAGGGAAGTCGTTTGCCAGGGCTTTCTTCCAGGTGGACTCCCACCTCCAACATTTTGTTCACAGCTGAGCGTTAAACCATTACACCACCCGAAGACTCCAGGAGGAGTAAGAGAATTAGAAAATCACTATTTGTAACATCTGTTTTAATCACTAATTCAGGCAAGTACCACCAGGGTTACTGGAATCACTAGATAAAAAGTTATTAAGAGAATTTTCACATGGGCTCAAAATATCACAGATTACTTATTAATTACAAACAGAAAAATGTTCCTTTACAATGGAGCAAGCTGTCAGACACTACCATAACCATGTTCAAAATTTAGCAAAACCAGTAATGGAACAACTTGATATTATTGCCAACTGATTTGACGCAGTAAGAAATACATATTATCATCACTCACACTGCTTTCTTGCCAAAAAATGATTAGCCTAAATCTAATTAAGAGGAAACACTCAGACCAGATTGTAGAACATTTCACATGACAAATGGCATAGATTTTTCCCAAAGTCAATGTCATGAGGGGAAAAAACAAAAAAAGTGACTAAATAGGCTTATCAACCAAGTACAATCTGTGGATAGTAATTGGACCTTGTATTAGAAGGTATAGAAATAGGGTTATAAGACATTTAGGGATAATCAAAGAAATTTAACCTACACTGTGTATTAGATCACACTGTGGAATCATTGTTAATGTTTTAGGTTTAACAGTGGTGACAGTTATGTAGGAAAATGCCCTTATTCTTAGAAATAAGTCCTTTAGTATACAGAGGAAAAGTACCATGGTACGTACAGCTTACTTTCAAATTATTCAATAAGCATGGGAAATGGTCAACAACTGGTGAATCAAGGTGAAGGGTATAAGAGCATTAATTATATTGTTCTTTCTGAAACGTTGCAAAATTAAAGTCAAGGGAGAAAAATGGTTAGGGAGTGGTTAGGGAGGGGACCAAGCTGGTAATAGTTATATTGGACTAAAAGGTTCCACCACTTTATTTTCCTCATATAAAGACTGTGCCACCTGTCTAATCAAAGTTTTTACCTTTGATTGATATGTGTGATGGGATGATGCCATCACAAAAGTGGTAATTAAACCAAAGACTTAGCAATACATTTTAGTTTCAGTTGCTCTGGTAAGAAATTAAATATACTAATCCACTTAAACATTTGCTCAATGCCTGCTACATTTCAGCCATGAAGTACAGAGATCTGTCGCAGTCCTGCCCTTAAAGAATTCAGTTTGCAGAGTAGGGTACCTGAATTAATTTCAGAGTGTAAGGTCCATCTATAAAATATTGTATTTGTTATATTCGATATAGTTTGTTATTGCTATTTAGATAAACGTCAAGAAGAGGTTTTATGAAAATGGTCGATGTTCCTATGCATATTTGTCCTCCATTACTGTCTTTAAAAAATGTTAGCGAATGTACTTAGCTGACTTCAAACATGAGGATGTCATGCAAGTAGGTAACTTTTTTAAGGTCAGATGAAGAATCCTTGGCAAAAATAATCATAAAATGTATGAAAAATTAAATCATACTGGTAGTACCCTGACCTTTTCTGTAGTTCAATTTACTTTGGGGGTGCTACAACATGCCTTCATACAGCGTCTCAGTGTTCTAGGAAATGTACTTAACCAACCTCTACCCTCATCTGGTGAGTGTGCTGAATCTCTGGCTGTTTTCCATTTTTCACTGACTTGAAGGAAGGGCTAGTGCCAAAAGAGCAAGGAGGCTGCATCTTTTGACCTCCTCTAACCCCACAAGAGGAGGACAGAATCAGCAGCAGCAGCCCCAGGCTGCAAGGCCAGGCATGCCGCTTCCCTGCAGCCCTTTCACCATCTGTTCCTCCCAAGGCACTCACCACCTCTCTGCTGGGTTCAATAATTCACTGTCGTAGCCACACAGAACTCACAGATTATGGGGTTTATTAGTCTCGCTCAGCTGGCCATCTCTCAGCTGGCCATCTCTCTCAGTCTCTCACAGTAGCACATCTCTCCCTCAACAGTGCATGTCTCTCACATCTCTCTCTCAGCAGTGTGTCTCTCTCACATCTCTCAACAGTGCATGTCTCTTAGCAGCACATCTTTCTCAGCTGGCTGGCAGCGAGACATTCCTTCTGCCTCTAGGAGGGCTCCTTTTGAGCCTGGCAGAGGGGCCAAACTAACTAATCCCAACATCAGAATTCTATACACCTGAGAGAGAGTGAACTTCCCAGAAGATTGCTTCGTGCCACTCTCAACAGAAATACCCCTGATGGATAACTTTAACAATCAGAAGTTACTCAGTTGCTCACAGCAAATTCCACCATGGAATTTACAAAGACTATGGCTAGAAAAGTAATACTGTGTAATTTACTATACCACAGCTAGGTGTTATTTCTTATTGCTACAATTTCTAGTACTGTGTTCTACACACTCACACACGAACTACATATGTGTTTCTTTATCCAACAATGAGCTCAAAACCAAAAATTAAACTCATTGCCATTGAGTCAATTCCAACTCATAGTGACCCCATTGGGTTGCTGAGGTAGTATATCTTTACAGAAGTAGATTGCCCCATCTTTCTTCTGAGAAGTGGCTGGTAGGTTTGAACCATCATTTTCTGGTTAGCAGTCAAATGCCTTAGGCGCTGTGTCACCGGAGCTCCTCAACAGTGTGCTAGGCACACCTTTATGCACTTTATATTGCTATCCTACTTGGTCATTTCCCTGAAGGTATTTTGCAAACAGATGGTCAAAATACATAAATGATTTCAATTCTACTTGCCCATCACATTGTTTCCCAGAAAAACTTAATCAATTTTCTATGCCATCAGCAAAATAAAAGTATGCACATCTCTCCACATTCCCCAAACAGTGCGTGTCTTTCATTTATTTTGTGCTGCTTCCTTAGGACCTTAAAATTTTTATATGTGTTTAAAAAAATAAAAACTCACTGTCATCGAGTCAATTTGACTCCTAGCGACCCCTCCTTAGGTTTCCGAGGCGGTATCTCTACAGAAGTAGATTGCCCAATCTTCCTTCTGAAGAACAGCTGGTAGGTTTGAACCACAAGCCTTCTGGTTAGCAGTCAAATGCCCTAGGCAGTATGCCACCAGAGTACATTCAGCTTTGTGAAAGTATTTTAATATAAATTATATCCTTTCAATATTTTATCAATAGGATCTGTACAAGTTATCATAATTTTATCATTCTTACTCTTGATGTTTCAAAAGTCAGCTTACCCTATGATTAAAATAGGTATCAAAAAATCTACTTAAATTTGCTAAAATGTATACTTACTATTCCAATATCAAAATGATCTCACTTGCAGTTTCATAGACTTCATGAAGAGTTATCACACGGGGACAGGACTTCGCCAATTCAAGGACAGCGATCTCATGCAGAATCTCTGCTCGGCAATCTTGTCCTCTTCTTCTCTTTTTTAGAAATTTTGCAGCATATTCTTGGCCAGTAGATTTTGATATACATTGTCTAACCACAGCAAATTTTCCTCTGGAGGGAAAAAGGAGGAAAAGAAATTTTAACTTTTCTGTAGAAAAAACTGAATCAAATATTGTAGGTACTTCTGTAGAATTATACTATTGTCACACACAAAATATATAAATGGTAAACTGTAATAACAGGATAACACACAGAACTATATTTGTTCCTCACTGGTAAGATGATACTATCATTGCAGGGAGGAATCTTATTTGCATGCCAATTTCATGCCATACTTTTCATATAAATTATTGCGTTTGAAAATCAAAACAATCCTATATACGTAGAATACTATTGTGTTTTGCAAACTCTAGAGAAGATATGCAACTTGGCCAAAGCATAGATTTAAACTTCTGGTCTATTTCCAAAGATCATAATCTTCAGAGGCTGTCACATTAACTGTCTAATCAAATTAACCTTCCACCACATATAAAAAAATAAATGAATGTAGAAATGGGCATTTGACTTAATTTAGTTTCATTAGCATAATTATTTTATCTTTCAATACCACTTTTATCAACTTTGAAACTTTCTATCACAATTCCTTAGTCATTTTATGCTTACCAATTTAGGAATAAGAATGTCTTTAGATATCTTTAACAGCTCTTTATACCTCAGCTAATTTTTTTTTCCAAGACACTTAAAATTCAAGTTTTTGTTGGCAAATTTGTGTATTTCAAGTCTACAATCTCCCAAAATCTGGTTTCCCAAAGACTTAGAGCTATTTTCAATTAGACAATTTTGAGAAATTAATAAAAGTTATTGATTGCCGTCCAAGAAAAAATGTACATACGCCCTTAAATAGGAAGTTGTGCATACAATTTCAGATGGTTTTCGGATCTCTAAGCTCATCCATACCTTCTTATCCTAAGGCACAAAGGCTCAAACTACTCTCCAGTTTCTGGTACTAACAAAGCAAGTAAAATACGGGATCTGCAAAGAGGAACTTATGTTCCACAAACCCTCTAACCCCAATCTCTCTAAGAATGTACTTCCATCCCAGCATATCCGGAAAATAATTTTAATATACTTGGAATACATAAGACAGTGGGAAAGGTAAATTAGCAAAATAAATTGCTTGACTGTATTCTACTTGCTATTCCCAAGGGCCAAGATAACCAAGATTCCTGCTCTTTATTTCTCAAAATTGTTTTCAGTGAAAAACACTGGCAACCAAGCTGGAAAAATATAGCTACTAATGCTTAAAAAAAAATAGTGACTGAGGCATAATTTGACTCATCTACACTTATCAAAATACACATCAACTAAATAAATTGTCATTTATAAGCTCAATTATTTGAAAGTACTTTAAGAATGGGGAATGTTTCATTTAACTATAAAATATTATCTTACTATACAAAAATCAATACATTTCAACAAATACACAAACAAGCAAAGCAATTCCTTTATATTAAAACGACCCACATTTTATAAGTGTTATATTAGATAAACTGAGTCAGAACAAGATTAAGTAACTCATGAAAGGTCAAATATAGAATGAGATTGCCAAGAATTAAACTGGGGAATGTGAATTCCTAGCTTTCTGTTCTAACCACTACAAAACAATTCCTCCCTTTAAAATCATTATTTTTCAGAAGTGCAACTCACTTACTTCTGCCAATTCTTATTCAGATTTAGAAGGAAAAATGAGTCTAAAACAGGCATGATTTTCATAAAGAAATTCACTTTGTAAAAATTTAGGAAATAGAAACTAGTTAGCCAAGAAAATTATGCATTTGAAAAAAATATAGTTGATAGTATCAAGTGTGACAATTTAGTTCTGCTATAATCTTACAGGGAGCTCTGGTAGTGTACTGCCTAAGGCACTTGACTGCTAACCAGAAGGCTGGAGGTTCACACCTACCAGCCACTCCTCCGAAGGAAGGCTGGGCAATCTACTTCCATAGAGACACTGCCTTGGAAACCCAAGGAGGGGTCACTATGAGTTGGGTCCAACTCGAAGGCACATAACAAAAACAACATAATCTTACAGCTAAGCCATAAATCTCTCAGAAATAAAGGGCTAATATTAAATAGCATTTCCTACCTAATTTTTTCAGATATTCTCAAGAGCCTTTCTTAGGCAAGTATACTCATTAACCAAGGGCAAAAGTGACTAAAGGGTATTGGTAATTATTTGCCAACACTCACTACTAAGTAACAGCTCCATGAGGGAAGGGACCATATTTGTCCTAATTGCTACAGTAATGATAAAATCTACCCTGTACTAATACAGTGTAGTTATCTCTTGAATGAATACAAATATCTGTTGAATGAATGCAAGGATTATAGGGTTATACCTACTATAACCAGAAGGCTGGCAGTTCAAACCCACCAGCCACTCCTCAGAAGGAAGATGGGGCAATCTACTTCCATAATGATACTGCCTTGGAAACCCAAGGAGGGGTCCGTATGAGTCGGGTCTGACTCGACAGCACATAACAACCACCACCACCATCTACTATAATACCATATCCTGTGCTATTTTGTATACTAAAAGCATTTCTATTTTTTAAAGCTGATTTGAGATTCCAACAGAGCTACATACACACAAATACACATATTTACTTATATGTTGTTAAAAAAGTAAATATTTTTAATACAATTATCAGATGACTTAGGAAAGAAAGTTTTTTTTTTTCCTATTTTAAAATGCTAGTTGTGGTTTAGCACTATCAAAATTATATAATCTGTAATATGTATGATGCTGTGCCAAATTTAATAGAAAAATTCAAGGAAATGTAAAATCTTTAACTGTAATCCTTAATTCATGCCCTAAAAAGGCTGCCTAGATTTCCCAGTGGTTCAAAGCTCTAGTAGTTACTGCTCTGCATTCTAGAATGCACAATAAAATGTGAAAGGAGGGGGCAGGGTAAGCCACAAAGGAAGCTGACGTTTGTTTCTGAATCTGCCTCACCCTTCTAACCACAAGAAGTCCTGTGAAACCTTGCCTCAGTTGGGGGAGGGGTGGAAAAAACTTACCCAATATGCTAAAAAACAGGAACAATGCAAGTTGTTTGAGAATAGTCAGAAATGAACTTCTAACTTTTGTATATTTTCCTTTAGTTTGCTGTTTATAAATTCCTAAACATTGTCTTAAAATTAATTAAAAAAACCAGTTGATTTAGACATAACTTTGGAGCTCACCACATGCTAGAATTTTATGTCTACATACTTCAAAATGCACAAGACTCAGGAGAAACAAGATTATGATCCTATTTTCTATTTCACAAAATGATAGGATATTAAAATTAGTAACAATATTGAAAATAACATAAGCATCTTCTTGACAGATGAAAGGCTGTGATTTTTAATTTATCAAGGTTTACTCATTAAATATATTAATATTTACCACATGACTCATTGTTGCTGTTGTTGTTATGTGCCATGGAGTTGGACCCGACTCATAGCGACCCCTCCTTGGGTTTCCGAGGCAGTTATCACTACGGAAGTAGATTGCCCCATCTTCCTTCTGAGGAGTGGCTGGTGGGTTTGAACCTCCAGCCCTCTGGTTAGCAGTCAAGTGCCTTAGGCACTATGCTACCAGAGCTCCTACATGACTCATTAGCCCAAATCAATTAAAAGAAAAATGTTGGAAGTCTTTCATTAAAATATTAGAAGATGAGATATTAGCAATCAATTTGTTTTAATCAGATTTAATCAGGATTTTTTGCTCTAACATGTTAAGAAGTACACCTGATTGGAATTTATGATTGTTATTTATAATGGCACCTCATTTATTACACAGTTTAGAATTTTTAATATTGTTCTCTTCAAGGTTTAATTTCTCCAAAACCCTCACCAAACCAAACCAAACTCACTGCCATCGAGTCGGATCCAACTCATAGCAATCCCTCCTTGGGTTTCCGAGGCAGTATCACTATGGAAGTAGATTGCCCAAACTGCCTTCCGAAGAGTGGCTGGTAGGTTTGACCTGCCTGCCTTCTGGTTAGCAGTCACATGCCTTTCTGCTCAGTTAACAAGATGCCGTTGTGTCAACTCTGACTCATGGAGACCCCATGTGGGTCAGAGTAGAACCAAGCTCCACAGGGTTTTCCAAGGCTGATTTTTCACAAGTAGATCACCAGGCCTTTACTTCAAAGCTTTTCTTGTTTTACCCAAACCTTCAACCTTCAGTTGGCAGCAGAGCACATTAACAGCTTGTACCATTCAAGGGCTCCAAGCACAGCCTAGCTCCCATAATGACCCTTATTTTCCAAAAGTAATTTAATAAACATAGGTTAAATTTCTCATCAAAATAGTAATTTAGAAAAGTAAAATAATAATAATAACATGCCCTTTACTGTGTTCAAGGCTTTGCATATACAATTACCCGCTCAAAGCAGTTTCCAATTTTTTTTTTTTTGCAATAGAAGGAAACTTGAAGATGATCTAATCTACTCTATCATCTTAAAGAAAAGGAAATTTCACAGCTAAGTAGACCACACAACCTTAGATCCAGAGCAAAGACAGGTAAACTGACTACCAGCTCAGCCTGTTTATACCAATATACTAGATGATGCCATATGACACAAATTAGACATAGCTACTGGGAAGGAAAAAAAGAAAAAAAACTCCTAATGGAATCCTAGGCCACTTGAATAGAGCGATAGTTTAGCTGTATTTGAGATGGTCATATGTTGAAAATAATTGTATCCAATTTTAGGTTTCCATTTTAAGATGGACAATGATAAAATACAAAGTGGCCTAAGAGACTGGATCAAGGAAGGCTGTCTGGAAATCAGGTCATATAATGAGTAGTTAAGGAAACCGGTGATGTTTAGCTGTATTAAATACCAGAAAGGTTTCCACATGGATACATGCAGCTACAAAGAGGACCTTGTCAATTGGGTTGGTGTTAGTAGAGCAGAAAACGGAACCTTCTATGCCTAAGAGGTAGCCACAAAATGGAACAGAGACACCATCTGAGGTAGCGAGTTCCCCATCACCGAAGCATTCAGATTAAAGCTGGATAACAGCTAGTCAGTGAAATTTAAAAAAAAAAAAAAAATGCTGTACTGCCTAAAAAAATTATGTTAGAAGACCACTGACCACTGACTGAAGTCCTTCCAAAGCAAAGATTCCATGACTATTCAATGTTAGTTATAGGAAACTAGAAAAACCACTTACTCTTTCCTGTTTTAATGCAAAGAGAAATAATTACAGAGTTTAAACAAGACAATTTCTTAAAAACATTCCTAAAAGAGGTGGTTTAAGCTATATAAAAATTTTTTCTTCACCAGAGATTTTTTTTTTAATTGTGGTAAAATATGTATCACAAAAAAAAACATACTGTTTTCCACCAGTCTTAACGGTCTGATTCAGTGACGCTAATCACACTGTCCCTGCTGCGCAAGCGTCACCACCACCCACCTCTGAATCACATCTTTGTATGTACCATTAAAACCACCACGTTTTATACAAAAAATCAAATAAATAAATATGCCAGCAATGACGCAATCGGCTTGTGTATTTAATTCTTAGTCTGATGAGGTATATTATCATCATGCTTATTTTGCAAAATAAAAGAAAGTTACAGCCAATCTCTGACAAGGGAAAAAGGCAGGACTTGCCTTTACCCTTAAGATAAAAGCCAAACCAGAACCGAAATACTTTTCATAGTTCAGTCAATTTTTGTTTTCACATTCAGGTTCTTAAAGGCAAAAATCAATCATATAATTTACCATCCATCTATCAATACAAACATGGGCTTAAAAACAGAAGTCAAGACATTTACCTGCAGAACTAAAATCAAACTAGAGATATAAACTGACGGCCATCTTCCAACACTTCATTAAGTACTTTTAACTTAAAGCTTAAAAGATATCGATTACATAATCAACTTACTAGGTATATCTTTCCTAATTTTCATATATATTAAAATACTAGTACTAAAAAGTCTCAACATCGGGTTACTCCTTGGCCTCAAAGAATTTACATCTTGGTTAAGGCAATGATTAGCACAGGCCTTCACATATATAAAACATGTACTTTTTTATAATATAGACGGATACTATCAAATTTTTGCTTAGTTTAGGAAAGAAGAAGAAGAGAATTTTTCTTTTCTTAACCTAGCAGAGTATACTAGGAATTTTTTTAAAAAAATTATTTATAAAAATGTATTAGCATTATATTAAAATCCAGAACCTTAGAAATATTAACTAATTGAATCCTCAGAACTCCAGCACTAAGAGATACAGTAACTTAATTGAGGTCACACAGTTGATCATGGGGCAAGCTATGCTTATGTTGCCTCTTCCCACGTACAGCCTCAAATAAGAACTCTGACAGCTTCTCAGGGGCTCTGAAGCGAGGTAGGATGTACGATATAAACTCACTAAAACTTCCACAGATTTTATTTTCAAGTCAGTTAAGATGAGACGCTGTCTAACAACAACAGAGATGACTCGTCTTTTTAATCATTGGTAAATAATGATCCAAAGTGAGTTCTATAGTGCCGAATGTAAAAACAGAAACCCAAACTTTGAATTTAAACAGTATGGAAATCATAAAAGTTTTCTTACCTTCCTAGCTCTTTAGATGTAAGTGTATAGAAGTTATTAAAGTTTTCCGATTTCATTGGTGTTTGAGGAGTCGTAGTTAGCAAGCCTGAGATACTTCGGCAATCAAACCTTCTCCTCGACATGTTAGATGACTCCTAGGTATCTTTCTTTATTCACTTATTTTCACCTTTTGAAAAAAAAGAAAAAAGATGACAGAGGATATAACTTAAATGTAATTAAGAAAAAAAAGGATGTTATCTCAGACAGGATGTGCATTAGATTATACAGCTCCAAATATAGCTATAAGATACCACTACCACCACCATCACCACGCCCCCAAGAGAGGAAGAGCGCATCCTACCCACAAGGAAATACAAAGAGCACGCCATCAAACTATGCCACATCTGTAGGCTGCAGACAAGTTACTGACTTCATTTCAGAACAAAACTTCTGAAAAACTCCCATAGGACCTCCCAAATTCTTAAACAAATAGTTATAATAAAATTACAATAAATTAATCTTTTCATTTCATTTTAAAACTCATTCTCTAAAGTTTTACTTTTAACAGAACAAGAAACCACAGATCATTGATTTAAAGTTTAATTTCACATTGCCAAACAAAATGGAAAGCATCTTCGGTCCTTGTGGTGGTTACATTTGTGTGTCAACTTGGCTGGGCCTGGTTGAGTGGCTGGGCAGCTGGATGTAGTATTTCCCACGATGAGAGTGGTAATCAACTCCATGGTGGAATCTACTGTGAGCAGCTGAGTAGCTAGCTGCCTTTGAGATGTGGTCTGCTTCCTGTATATAAGGAGAAGCCTTGAGGATAGTCTCTAGCCTATGGCACACTTTGACCCTGCATGTAGCTGTGTCATTGTGCAGCAGCCTGCCGTGCTCTGCCGACCTTGGGACTTACAATGGACTTAAGTTAATGACCTGCCATGTGGTTTGGCAATATCGGAACTGTGCCTTTTACTTGTCAACTTTGGGGCTTCTCAGCCTCAGCAGCCGGCAGCTGTCTGAGTGAAGAAAAGCCTCTAGCTCCAGTGGGCCAGGAGCAGGAAGCAGAGCTGGACCCCACGGTTGAGGGGCTTTCACCCAGCCCCTAGAGCCTGGCACTTTGAACTTGGACTTAAAGCCTCCAAATTTTAAGAATAAACTCCTGTTTGTTACGGCCATGCCATCTGTGGTATATTTCTTGTTAGAGTGGCACTAGGTAGCCAGAACAGTCGTGAATTCACATATTATCTTACAGTCATTCGGATGTTATGTTACCAGCATCTGAATGACTAAGAAATATAGAACTTGTTTCAAAAACTGACTATATTTCAATACTAAATTCAGAAACTTTCATAGATCTTAGAGTTTTTTCCTTTGTGTACAATCTAGCACAGAGCCTGCCATGTTTGAAGAGCACAGTAATGCTGTTGGATAAATGACTGACTATACTTAAAGCCTTATTCTACAGTTCCAATCTAGATCTGAAACTAGTATTCATCTGTAATTTTGTGATATTTATGTACATTCAGTTTTAACATCAAAACTATTTAATATCAACTGAAGTCATACAATACTTAAAAAAAAAAAAAAAGCAAACTCACTGCCGTGGATCTGGGTCCAGCTCATAGCAACCCCTCCTTGGGTTTGTGAGTCAGTATCACTATGGATGTAGATTGCCCAATCTTCCTTCCGAGGAGCAGCTGGTGGGTTTGAACCACCAGCCTTCTGGTTAGCAGTCAAATGCCTAAGGCACTACACTGCTAGCGATCCTCATAGAATACTAGCAGGCTATATATTTCAAGATAATTCTGATTTTCTGCTACCCCTGCTTAACAAAAGACCAAAATTACTCTTCTAGCACCTTCCTGTAATAACCTTGTAGGCTTTTGCACCTTCTCTGCCACATTTTTCCTCTCCCTATTTCCTAACTGACATCTACTGTTCTTTATGTTCCTAAATTCAAATGCCAACTATCTTCAACTTAACAAATAAGCAAGGTGATTAGAGTTCATTGTATTGAGTTCCTACCGTTCTATCTGTTCTTAGTTTAATTCTCAAGCCAGTACAACTTTTTCTTTTTCTTTAAATCCCTTGGTCTTTAGGAAAACAAAGCCCCACCTGGTTTTGGGTATATTTTTAGCAGTCTAGGGGTAGTAGTACAGCATTCAGAAAAGAACACTTGGGGTAAAATATATTTGGATTTGAATCCTACTTCTCTGGTAGCACAGTGCCTAAAGCACTTGACTGGAACCAGAAGGCTGGCAGTTCAAACCCACCGGCCACTCCTCGGAAGGAAGGTTGGGCAATCTACTTCCGCAGTGATACTGCCTTGAAAATGGAGGGGTTGTTAAGAGTTGGGGCCAACTTGAGGGCACATAACAACAACAATGACAACAACATCAGCTATAAGACCTTAACTTAATTATTTAACTTTGCAGAGTCTTAATACTTTTAGGTAGAAAATATTTCAAATATATATGAAAGGAAATAAATACCATAACAAACATTTGCTCTTTCAAATTATATTACTTTCCCATTAATCAGAAATAAACAAAACATCATACACATAGTTGAAGGTCCCTTCTTTCTATCACATTTACATCCCAATGGCACTGTGTGGGAGGGTTTACTAGGTCTATTTCTTTCCTAATACTGAACTCCACTCAGACTTTTCGTGTTTGCAATTCTAGTGGGATAAAGGTGAAATGGAAATTTTATTGTGATTTACTATGTATTTCCTTGATTAGTGAGGAAAGTTTCAAATCTGCTGCATCTAAAGAATAGGTAATAAAATCTACCTTGCAGAGGTCCCAGGATTAAAATTAAAATATAATGAACTCAAGTAGAATGGTAGTGGTACAAGTTACTGGCAGGGAAATCATGATTATTCAATAAATAAATATCATTAATATTCTACCTAAAGATGCTTTCTATTAAGTCCCCTGCCATTGCTGAGTAGCTGTGATCCCTTTCCATAAATGAAACATCTCTCACTTCAAGTAAACCAATTGCAAGAGTCAATTCCTACTCATAGTGACTCTATAAGACAGAGAAGAACTGCCCATAGGGTTTGTGTTTTATGTATTTTGTTGTGCCAATTGAGTCTGATGTCCCCCAATATTATGGTCCTGAGTCAGCAGACTCATTGGATCTCTCTCCCACAGGGTCTGGCTGTCTGTGAGGGACTGCTCTATGTCTGTCTTCTGTTGTTTCTGTAAGGATTGCAGGTATTTTGTATTACTGGTATCTGTGCAAGATTAGCCTCAGCTGATCTATCCTTGGTCTAGAGTATTAAATATCCTGTTCACTGACCCCCATCTGATCTTCTTAGATGTTTGTGTTTATCTGTAGCCTGCTGTTTGGTGTTAATGGTAATGCAGCATTGTAGATATACTAGTATTAGCCTCTGTCATCTATATCTTATGTGCACAATTCGGTGTCTTCCCTTTCCCTAATGTTATCATGGTGGTCACAGACTCTTTCCATACCATCCCTCCCCTTACCTACCTCAGCATGTGGCCCCCAAATAGCCCAAAATTATTCCCTCCCCTTCCCTCCCCACCCCAGTAACCTACAAAGTCAGTTCCCTTCCTTAAGCAAACCCTTGTCTTTTTACAGTAATGGGCTCATACAATATTTGTCCTTCTGCGATTGACTCACTTCATTCAGCATAACGTCCTCCAGGCTCATCCACGTTGTGAGATGATTCACATATCCTTCATTGTTCTTTAATGTAACTTATATTCCATTGTATGAATGTACCATAATTTGGTTATCCATTCATCTGTTGATGGGCATTTAGACTGTTTCCCTCTCTTTGCTATAGTGAACTGTGATGAACATAGGTGTGCATATATCTGTTCGTGTCCTGCCTCTCATCTCTTTAGGATATATTCCTAGTAATGTAATTGTCAGGTCAAATGGTATTTCTGTTTTCAGTTTTTTAAGGAAATGCCATACCATATACTACAATGGTTATACCATTTTACAATTCCACCAGCAGTGTGTAAGGATTCCATTCTTTCCACAACCTCACCAGCATTTATTATTTTCCATCCTGTTGAACTCTGCCATTACTGCTGGGGTAAGATGATATCTCATCATTTTGATTTGCATTTCTCCAATTCCTAAAGATTGCGAGAATTCCTCATGTTTTCATTGGCCACCAGCATATCATCTTTAGTGAAGTGTCTGTTCATGTCTCTTGGCCCATTTTTGAATTGGATTGTTTGTCTTTTTGATGTAGAGGTGTTCAAATTGAGGTGTTCTATAGAGTTTGGAGATAAGTCCTTTGTCAGATATGTCAGAGGCAAATATTTTCTCCCAATCTGTAGGTTCTCTTTTTACCCTTTTGACGAAGTCTTTCAATGCACACAAGAATTTAATTTTTCTAGCTTCTCTTCTACCTCCTGTGCATTCTGGGTTATGTTTGATAGTCTATTTATACCATAAATTAGGGCTCCTAGATTTGCCCCTATTTTATCTTTGATGAATTTTATAGTTTTGGGTTTTACATTTAAGTCTTTGATCCAACTTGAGTTTTAGTGTATGGGGTGAGGTATGGGTCTTGTTTCATTTTTCTGTAAGTGGATATCCAATTTTGCCAGCACTATTTGTTAAAGAGGCTATCTTTTCCCCATTTAATGGATTTTGGACCTTTGTCAAAGATCAGGTATCCATAGATGGTGGGTCTATTTCTGAGTTTTTGACTCTGTTCCATTGATCTATTTGTCTATCACTGTACCAGTACCATACTGTTTTGACTACTGTGGCTATATAGTAGATTTGAAGATTTGGGCATGTGAGATCTTCCACTTTGTTCTTCTTCGTCAGTAGTGCTCTGCTATCCGAGGTCTCTCTCCTTTCCATATGAAGTTAGTAATTGGTTTCTCCACGTCCTTAAAAAATGTTGTTGGTATCTGGATCGGGATTACATTAAATGTGTAGATTGCTTTAGGTAGTACTGACAATTTCACAATATTCAGTCTATCTATCCATGAACAAGGCAAGTTCTTCCATTTATGTAAATTCCTTATTGTCTCCTGTAGTGGTGTTTTATAGTTTTCTTTATATAGGTTTGTTGTATCTCTGGTAAGATATATTCTTAGATATTTTATCTTTTTAGTAGCTATTGTAAATGGTATTGTTTCCCTTATTTCTTTTTCAGAGGTCTCTTTGTGTGGAGGA